GAAACTGGAACGTGCTGATTAGTAAATGTTGTATTTGAATCATGCTCCATTAATGTCTGCTTTAAAAAAGCCTCGAGGTCGTAGACCATGAAATGGTCCATGTAGTGATCGACCACCTTAACACCAAACCTGCTAAGAAGTTCGAATTTAATTTTGAGGAGGCCGATACGCTGTTGGAGACTTAGGAAATGATTCCAGTGCTTCCAATTGGCATTTAGTCTTTTTATGAGCATCAAGCGTCTCACAAATATTGAATACAACTTCACAATGTTGTAGAGATACTTGGATAAGACCATACCGAGATTAGTTATGTACATCGCGTGAGACTTGTAGTCGAGAACGTTGATACGATTTGAATGTTCCTTCTTAGATTCGCGAATGCGTGATACTTCAAGCGAACCTTGGCCCATCTCATAAACATTTATTATTAGCTTGCAACAATCTTCCAATTCATCAAACTGCATGATATCAATAGGCTCCATTTGTTTGTAGAATGAAGTGGAATACTCGATACCTTTGAACTCACAAAATTTTCTAACTCGATTTTTGACGAGCGAAGACATTCTATCCACTCTAGCTTTCTTAGCTAGATGTTAAGCGATACAGAAGATGCACATTTATTGTCTGTTTTTGGGAATCACAAATATATTGGTTCTTCTTGATGACAGCGGTTATGATCAGATTTTTCTACTAGTGAATCGTTTCTGTATGTGATAACAATATTTGCATAGTAATCCTTGACTTGATAGCTTGACGTTGAGTAGCTGATGCGATCGGCAAAATATATATCGATATCATCCTTGCTGTTGATACCAATGGGTTTGCCAACGAGTTCTGTGTTCGTTCCATGCCAAAAGCTTCGCTCGAGTCCACTAACTCGATCGACTAGCTTGTATCCCAATTGAATATTAATCTTAAATGCTTTCGATTGATTCTTCAAGGCGGAGCGACTGTTTATATATATTATAATATTGGCATAAATGTGTCTCTCGGAATTTGCTCTTGAACATACCCCAGGACGCTTGTAGTCCTTGGAAAAGTTCCTGTGAACTCGCGACTCTGAAAGGTTGTACTGCTTTGCGAGTAGCTTATGGTTGCTTGCTTTCGAAAATGAAGATATGTATACGACTTGCCCGTACTTGTTTCTAATCTGAACACGGAAGCTAGAGCCCCATCGCTCAGCGGGGGTGTTCAAACGCTTCAAAGATTCGAGTACGTTGGACAACATTTCCGAGTATATGAGACATGAGATAGAATATCTTTTCCACCGAACAACTTTGTACATATTCTTGTAATCAATGCTTAAGATAGACTGATGTTTCGTAAGATAAAATAATGAACCCCTAGTCTAGAGCAATTCTTCCGGTCTCTTTCTTATGGTTTTTCTTCGTTTTTCTTTAATTTGGTCTCTATCTGATCATCATAAGCCTTCTGGCGAGCTAGAATTTTTCGATTCTTCAGGTAGTAGCGACGTTGCGCTGATAGTATCCTTATTTTCCGGTGAGTTTGTCATTGTTGTAGCTATACTCAGTATTTTTTTTTTATTAAGATAGGAAACCAAAAAACGTTGGGAAGTATGGATTAAAGATACTTCACAAATGAATCACTAAAACTTTGCTTAAACCACCGAAAGTAGTTTGGGTTCTGTATAGCTATTTTTTCTGAAAGTCATTCCGTGATGTTTCCCTACTTGTAAGCTGCATCGGAGAATAGCTTCGCAAGGCTTTACTTGCCACAAAAGCTAAGGACCTTTATCTCAAACATACGTTGAATGAAACGATCATCCTCATGAACCAAGGTCCATGGAGTTCTGCCCTTGATACTCAGTAAATGATAGAGGACGATCAATTAATGGCTTTGAAGAGCTGCTTGTTAACTTTTGTCGAAGTAGTGTAGTCGCTGCAACATTCGTATGTACACTATTATCATAGTGACATTCATTGCGAAGCATGCATTTGATTCTACAGTGATCACAACGTGGAGTATCATGGTGTTCTTTGAAGCATTGAATGCATTTCTTTTTATTGAACTTGAAGTTTTCCATACATGTGGAACCTACAAACTCTAGTCGACCAGCAGGAATGTGTTTAATTAAACAGTTCCAAATAACCTCTGTTTTACAATGACAATTAGTCAAAGGTAATGGGCATACCGGTTTGTCGTAGTCGTAAGGGTCGCTTAGTCGTAGGGGTCATTACCAAAATGACCAATCACAGGGCTCAATCCTAAACAGACGGAAATTCTAATTTTAGATGGTTGGACGCATAAATCGTAGGTAGAAACACATTCACCAGCAAACCCAG